ACCTATAGCACCTAAGACTAAGCTTAGGGAGGGGGTGAAACTCCGGAGTGGGTAAACCACGCACCGTGTGGCAAAAGTTGGAGTGTGTTAGACCACAGGGGAGTGGCCTACTCACTTTGGAGCCCTCCACTATTCAAAGGCTTAGTCCTGATTGCGATCTAATTAGTGCGAGGGCGCAGACGAGCAGGAAATAGGCGCCGAATAGCGCCAACAACAAAAACGAATGTCATATTCGTAATCAGGACCCCAAATAACCCCTATACAGAAGTTTACAGCGAATTTAGTGGGAATCAGTCGTGGCGCCACCTGGCGCCAAATGGCGCCAAATTGGCGCCAGCGCCAAAAATGGATATCATATTCGTGATCAGGACCTCGATAACCCCCATAGCGCAAGTTTCAGCGAAAATTATTTTTTGACCACACTAGGCACCCACTGGGTGTTGTAATAATAGTGCCAAACATTCTATAGAAGGGTAGTTCATGGTCTTGGACCACCGCGGCCCTCATTCTTGACACCGGCGCTAGTTTACGCCACATTTTCTCCCGTCAGTTTCTCAAAAGCGTACATATTGGATTAGGATCACATAGACCGATGTCGGACTTTGCGAATCGAGTGATTCGTGATTGGCTCAAGCGTGTTCGCTCGCGTTGCGGTATACCCAGTCATCGAGGCGCACGCGGGCCGCGACGCGTAAACCTGGGACCAGGGTCAAGCGTGCGTTGAGGAATCCTCGACACGTCGCAGGGGGGGGGGTCGTATTGGCCCGCTGGGTGGAAGAGATCGAGCCATTTTGATGCAGTGGGATCATCACCGTCGGAAGACAAATATCAAGGATGAGTCGATGCCAGGCCAGAGGATTTCCAATGAAAATGATATTTCACCCACACAAAATTTTCGTGATTCTGAGGCGTCCGGTAATTCTTAGTTACTTCAGTGTTTTATCACCACACAAGTTAAAGAATCTGAATTTCGCACGCTTTCCAAGAGATATTTCATCTTTCAAGTAAGACCCCGAATCTGAAGGGATGTGAGGTACACGGCGCATCCGAGAAAGGGTCTAGTTGTTGCGCGCGCTTCAACTACGGCTCCTTGGACAAACAACCTCAATTCAGGAACAATCGAGAGAATTCTGAAAGTGTCCGTGCGCATTTACAGGGAGGTGTACACCATTCAACATTGCGTTAACGGACTCTTCAGGGTTAAATTTATAAACATGTAACCTTTAAAGTTGAGAAACGCTAATCAATCACTTTTCTTAGAAAGAGAAAAGCAGTGATTCCAAATCTGCTCTTACTTTAGTACATAATCGCCCTTAAAAGGATATACAGCCGTTGAAATAGTGCCAATGTAGCGAAAAAGTACCTTTCGGCGGTACTCTCGTGCAAAATCCTCAACGTAGCCGTTTTTTTAATACTGGACGTTTGGAGCAGTTCTAGTAAGCATTTGATAGAGCAAATCTTCTAGTTTATGATGGCGTATTTACTTTTCGGATTGGATGAGTTTGAACGGAGTTATGGCTTTAGGAAGTAAAAAAACTCGCACTCATCACAAATTTTCCTCGTTAATTTTGCGAAAATCCTCAACGTGGCCATTTTTGAATACTGGACGTATAGAGCTGCTTTAGCAATGGTTTGGTAGAGAAAATCTTCTAGTTTTGTCTGCCATATTAACTTTTCGAATTTGACGAAAATGAAGCAAGTTGTTGCTTCGGAAAGTGTAAAAACTCGTGCTCATCTCGAATTTTCCTCGTTAATTGACCTAAATTTGTTATTTCTTATAACTTTTTGTAATTTCAATACTGATTAGAAAAAGCTCTTCACAAAACTTCCAAATCTGCTTTCAGATTGAAAATTCGTCATATTTGAAGAAAGTTATAATCATTTGAATATTTGTTCAAATTTCAATAGTAAATAAGCTGCTCCACGGTCAACGCCAAAGTCCAGTCAACACACAGCTGGCGAAGGCTTTTACAAGGCTTCCTTTGAGCGAAAGGGGGACGTGTAAATTGAGAACCATAATCTGTGTAGTACTAGAATTTGGTAAGTCTTGTGGAGGAAATAAATAAAGAAGAGATGTTGTCATAGTATGCCATTTTTAGTGACTAGTTTGTCGTTTTTGGTCTGTTTCTCGTTTGCTCGTTTGGTAGGACTCATCAATAATGATTATTCTTTGACTTTTTCACTTTTGTACTTCTTAAACGAATTTTTTTTGGGCGGTGGGGTAGCAGGGCTTTTTTATGAGCAGTTTTGGGGGAGAATTAAACAAGCTTTTCAACCTTTTCATAGTTCGGCTTTTGAAGAGGGTTGTTTCATGGACTTCGGCCTCCGGCGGAGGGTGGTGGGGGGGGGTCGTATTTCCAAATTTTCCTCAACGCCTCGCTTGACCCTGGGGACTGCTAGCGAATCGATATTTCGAAAGTCTAACAATCGGCTTTGACGTGTCCTGGCGCCAAAAAGGATATGTTCAATATTGTAATATATTTTTTGTTGGTGTTGGGGGTAGGCCGAATGCGCCATACATTCTCATTAAATGAACTTCAGTATAGTTGTGTACACTGTGATAGTGGTGATGGATCATCACCACATAAACATGATGCTTATATAAACCTTCACGAGTATGGTTGCATTCACTTTTGGTCTCGTCTATGCCTACGAATAAAGCTTCTACTCAGCTCGTCGAAGACATAACAAATGGCGATCAGGAGTTCAAGAACCCCGCCAGTTCAACGACGGAAGGAAGGTTGCCAGTCAACGATCTGCTGCAGATGATGGCCACACAGCAGAAACTACTAGTCGATCTCCTGCAGAAGATATCTACGCCGGCAGCAACTCAGCAAGAGTCCGCTTTTGACCGGATGGCAAGAAGAATCGACAAATTCTCGTACGACCCGGATCAGGACGACTGCTTCAACTTATGGTATAATCGACACAAAGATATATTCGACATCGACTGCGAAGGAATGGAAGAGAAGACGAAAACTAGATTGCTTATCTCTGCCTTGGACGCCGTGAGTCATACTAGATTTTCTCGTTTCATTCTTCCAAAAGAGCCTAGTGAGCTGAGTTGGACAGAAACGCTCAACGCTCTGAAATCACTTTTTGGAACTAAAAAGAGTCTCTTTCGCCGTCGCTTTGAGTGTTTTCGGATGAATTTCTCACCCAATGAAGACATCGACAACTTCGTCAACTCGTTGAAAGCCCGTGCCTTGGAGGCCAACTTCAAGGACATTAGACATGAAACTTTGGAATGTCTCGCAATGGTATTCGCCTTCCAAGCACCGGAACTAGCCGATTACCGCGTTCGTTTTCTCCGCAGATTAGACGAAGATGAAAAGATCACCATCGATGACTTAGCCAAGGAATATCACGCCTGGAAGTCAGTCAAAGATGATTCTAAGATAGTCGAAGTTTTCAACGCACCCGAAGTATGTGCAGTTCGAAAGAAAAAGCATCGTCGATCTTTTACAGCCAAAGCTAGATCCCCCGCCATCACCATGCCCAATCTGTCAGCAGAATCACTGGAAGAAACACTGTCCACAAAACCGTCCTCCTCCCAGTACCACTCAAGAGTCGAACAATACATCACGACGTCGCACCAAACAATCGTCCCCACGCACCTATTACCAGCGTCTCATCGGCCGTCCTGGAGACGTACAAAAGTACCTGGAAGTCCACATAAATGGGCATCCCACTCGCCTGCAGCTGGACACTGGCGCTGACGTCACGTCACCATTGTCTCTCGTCCAACCTGGATGCAGCTCGGAAGTCCACACCTACAGAAGACATCCGATGTCTTTAAGGGAGCCAACGGTTTGCCGCTTCGAATCTACGGTCAATTTGAAGCCGCTTTCGTGGTCGTTGACAACCAAGGGAAAGGCTCACCCCGGGAAAGGTGTCTGCTATGTTTCTGATGACAACGACCTCCTGGGCATCACATGGATCGAGCAAATTCCAGATTTCAACTCAGTTCTGAAACGATTCAACGTTCAGAAGGTTCAGACGCTAAACCACGATGCACTCCGAGACCAGACGATAACTAAGCTGAAACATCACTTCGCGAATGTCTTTGAACCTGGACTTGGGTGCTGCCTGAAGGCCAAGGCAACTCTCTACCTTAGGCCCGACGCTCGCCCAGTTTTCATAAAGAAAAGGCCAGTTCCCTATTCTTCCCTACCTCTTCTCGACGCCGAAATCGACCGTCTTGTCGCACAGAACGTCATTTTTCCCGTCGACCACTCACTATGGGCTGCACCAATCGTTGTTGTGAGAAAGGCCAACGGAACCATTCGACTTTGCGCTGACTTCTCGACAGGACTCAACGATGCATTGCTCCTACATAGGCATCCACTACCAACCGCTGAGGATGTGTTCACCAAACTCAATGGCGGAACCGTCTTTTCTCAGATGACTTCGCCGACGCATACCTACAGGTCGAAGTCGATGATAGCTCTAAGGAGCTCCTCACCATCAACACACATCGAGGACTCTACCGCTACAACCGTTTACCGTTTGGAGTCAAATCAGCTCCTGGCATCTTCCAGCAGATCATCGACTCCATGATCTCTGGACTCAACGGCGTTGCTGCCTACCTCGACGACGTCATCGTCACCGGCCGCACACTATCCGAGCACAACGCCAATCTGGAAGCGCTATTTTCAAGGATAGCAGCCTACGGTTTCCGCGTTCGTATCGACAAATGCCACTTCGTTATGAACCAACTCACCTATCTCGGAAACGTCATCTCAACAGCTGGACGCCGACCCGATCCTAAGAAGATCGACGCTATTATACAAATGCCAAGACCGAAGGATTGCGCTCAGGTTCGGTCATTCCTCGGACTTCATCAATCACTATGGAGCCTTCGTCCCAAAGATGCGCCAACTTCCGTGCACCGCTCGATCTTGCATCTATCTGAAAGGGCTGCCATCGATCTGGACTCTTGAATGCCTGCCTTCAAATTTCGCAATCTCAAGGCTATAAGTTCTTCGTCTTCAGACCTGCTACTGACCACTTATTGATCCCAGAGTCTAACCGCTCATAGTCGCATGCCGACCTTTCAGACCTACGGAATTGATTGCTGTTTACTCTCCCACCGTTATCCCTCGATGGAGGAGGAAGATAAGCTTGTGTATCACGCTAAGCCTGCTCTCTCACGCATACCGCAGAGAAAATACATGGCCTAAAATAGAAAACAGAAGGGCCTTTGCGCTCCGTCTACGGGACGCAAATATATTCTCAGCAAAAAAAATTTGTAGATATCGAAAAGTGCTCGAACAATTTGAGATGGAATTTGCGCTCTTTTTCAGGTTAATGGAAGCAGAATTTATGAAGGACTAACAAAATAAGTAGTCTGACAGCTCCATTATCGTTGAGGATACTGGATAGGCCAGGAAGGAGAGAATATTGACTATCTCAAGAAAAAGCGTAAACAACGAGGCAAATCCCAGCACGACGGTCTGGGGCTGCTTTCGTATCGAGGCGTAAACAATCTCGGAGGATTTGAACCGAAAGATTCAATTACAAGCGATGTCCCAGTCGAAAACATTCCCATTATATTAAACAGTTTCCTAGAATGTTGAAAAAGATTAGCTAGCAAACAAAAAATGGTGTTGCGATGAAAAAAGTTGTAAAAATTGTTCTACCGCTCGTCGTACGGTACCATTCAGACTCTTTGGCCGACGTCATACTTTGCGAATCGAGCGATTCGCTCGACTCGAGCGATTCGCTTGACTCGCTAGCGATTCGCTCGATTCGCAAAGTATGACGTCGGCCTTTCAAAATCGTATTTCGCAAACTGCGAAGAATAGGTGCGCAACACATACCCCAGACTATTTCTACCTGCTTTTGGTTCCTTGCATACATCTAAATCTTGTACTTTATTGTAAGGCAAAGTGAAGATCGTGCCAGGCCTTACCCATCCGTCTAGACGTCTTCTACTCTGCCCGCCTACTGATTGACGACCCCACCTACTGGCCCCTCATTAGAGAGGCAAAGCAAGCGTTCACTGATGATGTTAGTACCGATGAGACTCGCCCAACGCAGAAATCCAAAAACAAGGGGCTCGTTATGTCGGGGCGTGCGTTCGGAGGATAGTAACTCGCTTTTCTTCTCGGATCAGGGTTGCTGCACGTATCTTAGTAAACTCCATTTTTGACTTCCAGGTGGCTCAATGGATTATCCCCCCACTTGCTTTGACAAGTCTGCGCTTGTATATCCCACGCAATCTCCCAGCAGGGGTGAATACGGATCGGAGGAAGCAAACCAGCCCTTTTGGCGTTTCGGCTGGGACCGTATGCCGAATGTTGGGGAGGGGATGGGGTCCCCAACGGTCGACGGTTTACTTCAACTCGGTTGGTACGATAGGAGAGTACTGACGCAATGTGGTGCAGCTGGTCCAGCAGCTCCGCCAGAAGGGCTGGTTTGCTCACCCAGGACTAAGCCTTGGAGAGGGGACGGACCCGTCCTCTCTTCAAGGCTTAGTTCTGAGGTAAGCACCAAATTGTGGCGGTTCTAAGGACCGAGTTGAAGTGGTCCGTCCACCGTCGGGGACTCCATCCCCTCCCCAACATTCAGCATACGGTCCCAGCCGAAGCGCCAAAACGGCTGTTTTGCTTGACGTCACTACGATCGTGCGAGTTGATCGATACGATATCATACTCACGCACGATTACAAGACAGTCACTAAGTTGCGAGGCAGCGTAACAGAAGTCTACGTTGACGAGCGCTTCCCCTCAGTGGAAGGCATATAAGCAGCTGCAGCCATCCCGTTCGCGCGAGGTCGTTGATGTCGAGTCATCAACGGTTTAAAACCTGTCAGGGGGGGGGGGGGGGGCGGGGGGGGGGGGGGGGCTTGGTTACCCGAACTCACTCCCAATCTCGTCGAACTTCCGCCATAAACGCCACTAAGTTAAAGGTGTAGGGACGGAGGAGAGAATTTTATAAACCCCGCAGTGTATATGCCAATGAAAAACATCAACTCACGTCTCAAACAATCCGCTATGTCCTCTTCTCCTTCTCCGCACACGTTTCCCCGCTCTCCCCCACCAGGGGCGGTATTCAATCCTTCCCCCAGGGGGATATATCCCCCTCCTCTGATTCAATCCTCTGGGGGGACAAAAAAGGGTTGCGTCATAGGACCTAGCATACCTCTGTGTTTCTACCTGCCAGACAGTTAGAGCAGCGCTACTACCCTCCACTGATGAAGCACTCTTTTCCCTGAGGGGTCGCGCTGCTCTAACTGTCTGGCAGGTAGAAACACAGAGGTATGCTAGGTCCTATGACGCAACCCTTTTTTGTCCCCCCAGAGGATTGAATCAGAGTAGGGGGATATATCCCCCTGGGGGAAGGATTGAATACCGCCCCTGGCTCTCTCACCAACAACCCAAATCTCTCAAAATTCCCGATAGGGTCCCTTCGTCCAGGTGGCAACTGCGAATCCCCGATGAAAACTTCAACCGTACTTCTCTTTGTTTCACCTCCTCACAGCACAACGCGAACAGAATAGTATGACCCATACACGCCATGCAAACCAATACGCTCGCGGGCCCGCTCGAGTCGCAAACTTTGAACTTTATCTACTAAAATTGTTCCACTACAGTAAGGAAGATTGGAGAAAGGTAGCTGCAGCAGATCAGCTGCTATAACCATATGTAAAACATTAAATAGCAGACAGTTTGAAACACAAGTCTATCAAATGGCGAACAGAACGTTATCAGTTGTTGTTGACTGGAAGAAGGAGCAATGTCACATAACGATAGTCGTAACTCATGACTTGGAACTTGAGTCAACAACATTGAAATAGCGTCCTGTCCAAGAAGACCCACAGAATGAATGTGAGTCGCCAAAACAAGCAGTTGAATTTGTCTGCAATTTTGCGTACCGTGGTTATTGTACGCACTTTTGCACAGCCATTATTTTTGGCGTTTTATTGAACACACGGGAGCTGAGGTTGCTTTTTGATGTTATCCCTGATGTATTTGTATTTTCTCATGAGTAATATGTCGTAATCGTTGCACTAGCGGAACAATCGAAAACTAGGACGGTTTTGCAAGTGGTTTTTCGGAATAGGTCTTGAATCAGTTTGTTCAATAATTTTTCTTATCACAGATCATATTGTTTGTTTGCTACTGAAGGTTCCATGACTTCAGCAATGGAGACGGGGTGAGTGAAGCTTATTATTTTTCGTTCTTTGTTCGAATGTTTCCGCATTTTCTTTTTCTTTCTTTTCTCCTCCATTTATGGATTTTATGAAACTTCTCTCACTATTCACATGTTTCACTTGGAATATGGCGAGAATAAAAGGTTGCTTGTAACTTTATGGGCGCTACCGCAAATTGGGCATCCTGTGGGTTCAGGCTTAGGAGGGGGCAGGAACTATGAGGAAAATGAAAACTGCTCACACATCCTGGAGTCTCTCCTCCCCGTCCCAAAGGGTGAGCCCCATTTTTAACAGATAGGGGATGATTGACGTGGTTTTGAGTGCACTGCCGCCACAATGCCCCGTATATCTTGCGTTAGCATCATTACTTTTGTTAAATTTTACAACCTAGCTTTTTGACAAAAATAGCTTTTTTAGCAATCTCCGTAATGAGGACTTTCGAAAGTTACTGACTGCACCGAAGAAGGTGGCTGCTGAGGGTTCAGCATCAGGCGGCACTTCTCACTCATTCACACACAGACATCAAGCGAAGCCCGAGAAGAAAAAAGGCGGAGGAGGTCACAAGCACAAAAAGGTTGGGTTTTCAGAAGTAACAATGGCGTCGATTCCTGACCTCCTGCTATCCCATATTGTTTGCCTTTAATATTCTTCTGAAGAGGTTCTGAAGTTTATTCGAACCTTTTCGTCATTGGCGGTTCGTTTAGAAATATGCCATGAATTTTTTTTTCAGGAGAAAATCGAGAGTAATGAAGATGAAGCCAATCTCAAGGAAATTCTCAAAAACTACCGTGATCGAGCACTCGAACGCCGTCTGAAAGGAAATGATGTTTGTTGAGCTCTCCTACTAGTCAGCTTGAGCATTCAGAACATTTTATTGGGATTCAGATTTCACAGTTCTACACTGTGCCCCTTATCGCGTCAATTTTTTTACAAGTTCCTTTTTAAAAAACGAGAAATTTGGTCTCAGCCTTGATTTTCTAATTGTCTACTACTTCCTTTCAAGTATGTCAACATGGAATGTTCCCTATCCTAGGACAATGATGAAATTGTGAAGCTGGCGGCAGCATACCGAGCAATGCCGGGAGATGCACGCGCAGTAACAGACAAGGCAAATCTCAGAAGACAAGCTATTGAGGTCGGTTGTTGATTTGCGCGTTCATAATTTCTACAGTTTTTCGCACACACTGCCAATTGTTTTCAAGAATTGAAGTTAGACAACAGTTCCATCATTTTGGTTTCACAATTATTTTATTAGTTCACTTGCAGGAGTCAAAATACCTTGGAGGAGATATGGAACACACTCACTTGGTGAAAGGTCTCGATTATTCGTTGCTTAATAAAGTCCGAAGTGAAATCAATAAATCACAAACGGAAGTGGACACAGTGGACGAACTGGAACTCGCTTTTGTAAGTTATTTTTCCCTAGCTGCATTTCCTCATCATAAACTCAGGAGTTTCACGCTTCAGCATTCCCACGAGCTTTTTCGATTTTTGCATCCATTTTTTCAACACGGTGCATCTAGTCTTACCATACTCTAATGTGTTTCATAATTCTTAATTACTTTTTATTAAAGTGATCGTTCATAAGGAACAGCTTTTTTGACTTAATAAAGTGTGAGAAACTTTCCAGAGATTAGTTAACCTATGTACGCCTTTTAGATCATCTTTAGGTTATGAACTAGAAGGGAAGAATAGCAAGTGGTGAACATTTCGGAATTACGTGTGAGCATTCCAGGATCAAAAAGGTGTTGATGCTGTGGAGAAGATGTCTGACAATAAAATGGTCCGGGGTATCCATCGAATTCTGTTCAAAAATGAATTGCCACTGCGAAATGAGCTGTTCGGTAAAGGACGTATGGCGTATGTGGTGGACATGGAAGACGAAGAGGCTGATATTCCTACCACATTGCTCAGGTAAGGACAGGGCTAGACTATCTGGAGAATCTACCCGAATTAGAGTTGGAGAATCATGGATTTACTAACAGCTCTTATTTAGATCGGTGCACGATTGCCCGAAAGCCGAATCAAACGCAAATATCAATGCAAACAATATGCTGATTTCAAAATTGACCCAGGTATCATTTTTGCTCGCCCTCGGGCCTTTCGATTTGTTGCTACCATATGTAGATTTACCTGCCTCATGAGGATTAGTCTATCTTATACCGGCTTTGGAAAGTTGCATATAGTTTTGTGTATTCTTCAGGTGCTTTCCTACCTCCGTTCTGACCACAAGAAGAAGAAAAAGCCAGACATGACAGAGGAAGAGGCTAAGAAATACCAATCTCAGAGTATCTACGATAATGAGACCGAATATGCGCCAAAACGCGACAAGGACAAGTATGTAGTTCTCTTAGTGGTTCGCCTTGCCTTAGATCAAAATTCACGTTTATAGGGATCGCCGAGACAAGGACCGAGACCAAAAGAAAGATCGGAATTATTTCGATTCCAAGGATGATCGTAGCAAACGAGACGACCGTGAAAGACGTGACAAGGACCGTGACAGGTGCACATTCTGAATAACCTATATATAGTATGCTCGTTGACTGAAACTGTAGGCACATAAGAAGAGCTTATTACTCGATTTTGATTTATTTGCTTTGTTGCTGATGTTATTACTCAAAAATTTTACCCTAATTTCTACGCAACTTTGTCTGGGAAAACTGACAGCCTTTCTTCGTATTAACTAATTCCATGAGGTTTCGTTAAGGATTAGGCGGATGGGGGGTTTGTGAGCAATCAGCACTTGCCTTTCCTTATTATAAATTCAACTCTCTTCTTGAAACTTGTATGTGCGCCTTTTTGGCATTTGGGGAGTTACTTGTTAGCTCAAGGAAGGTTTGAAGGTAATTTTTTTAGAGATAATGATGTCTTCACGGATCCAGATAAGTACCGTTCTATGAGTATCACATTCCTGTTAAAGGCAAGATTCGGGATAAAATAGGTGTGGAAAAGCGTTCAGTTATGAAGCTAGAGGTGGGAGGTGGTCTGGAAAAGAGAAGGAAAGCAAACGAAACCACCGATTACGCCCCGTACAGAGACCTCCCCTATTTCAGCCGCATTCCACCTTGGGATAGAGAAGGGCGCGTTGGACGAGTTTCACGAACCTAACTCTAGTTGCTCCAGTGCCAATGACATTGGGTCGCGCCTCAAATGCGCCCGCGCTTTTCAAGCAGCGCCACGTGGCAACCGACAGCGGAGGGTGGGGCTTGCGGACGAAGGTGTGAGTTGCGGGTCGGACGAGCTCCTTGCGCCTTTGTCGCGCACTTTCAAGCGGCAAAAGGGGCGCGACATCAACACTTGTCCACCTGCCTACTACCCCGGATGGAATGGAACAGGCGAGCGCGCCTAATCCCGGAGCGTGCCTTTTTGAGCGAACATATTCTCTTATCCCAACAAATTCCCCCTAAATTATTCAACATCGCATGTTCACACTACAAGAACTTATATTGCATGTGATTAAAAATTTCATAATCCCTCATATGGACCGATATGGAGGCAACACCCATGATAAGTGGGTTCAGCTATCTTCAATTTTTTTTCGAGCATATGAAAAATCATTGTAAATTATTACATTTTAGAATAACAATACAGTCAGGTCAATCCCTCGGGCTTAAAATATACCACTGAAGTACTGCTTGTTTAGGCGACACGACCGTCGAGATCGTGATCGCGACGGTAAGGATAAAGATCGTGAACGAGATCGCGAAAAGGAACGTGAACGGGACAAAGAACGCAGAGAACGGGAAGAGCGAGATAAAGAGAAGCGCCTTGAGGAGAAAATGGAAAAGAGGAGAAAGGAAGCCGAAGGAGGAGGGTGAGTTCTCATTTGTTTGGGTTTTGTTACCTCCGTACAATAGCTGTTCAGATATGATGAATGTTATCCCGGAGGAATGGCAGAAATGGGTGGCGGATGGGATTCAGATGAAGAAGATCTGACAATGATGGATATGGGAGCGAAGAAGTCGACCATAAAACGATGGGAGTTTGATAATGATGATGACTACGAGAAATTCCAAGTAAGTATTTCCAGTTTTCTTATGATTTTTAGAAATCTGCTTCCCTTAATTTGACACTCAACTTTTTTCAGGGGTCTCGCGAAGCGATGCCGAAGGCTGCCTATCAGTATGGTGTAAAGACTGGCGATGGTCGAAAAACCAGAAAAAGTGTGGATGTTAACAAGAAAATTGATAAGGAGTTGAATCAGATCACAAAACTGATTGAAAAGCGCAAAGGTGCAGCAGAAGAAGAGAGGTAAGCGAACTATGAATAACAATAGGGTCGTTCAGGTTGTGGATCGTTCTTTAAATCTTTCTTGCATGGTGTGGAACTGTGTGCATGGAACATGAAAACAGTGCTCATTTTCTAAATCTACATTTTCTAAAGTAGGGGCTTTTAGGAACGCCAGAAGAGAGCTAAAATCCATTCGCTGGTTTATTGTCATGCACTCATAGGTGCGCTACAACACTCATAAAATCAGTAGTAGATTAAAACTTATAATTGAAACAAAGCTCAAATTGAGGACATTTTTCACACAATCAGGAAGCTCTCCTAAGTAATTATGTGAAATTGTTTGCGCTGAACAACGCAACTAAGTCAGTGCTTTTTAATTTCTTTTGAACGCACAGGTGTTTTGTGCCATCTGCGGGTCTGCCGGTAGTAATTGAAATCATATCGCTCCACGGAAAAAATACCTAATTAAACACGTTGACTCGGCGATTTCTGTTTAATTTCTTTGGGAAATTTCCTTGAGAAGTGTTACTTGAAGGACTCCCTGTAAGTTAGGTCACCATACTTGATAAGGACACGTAGCTTGAGATACTCTGGAATGCTAAAAACGAAGATCGCAATCGTTCCCTCTGAAAACCGCGTACTCGATTACGGTAAGGGAATGGTGGGTGATTGTAGCCTAGTGCTGGACTAGCGCCTGTGGCGCGTGTCAGGAATTTTCGTGCCAGACAGGATGCTTGTGCACGGCAGGTCAAACTACCCTTAGAAGCTATTTTCTAGCTATAACGAAATTTCAACTCGGATATCGAAAGAGGCATGGTAGCCATGGGTACTTTAGAGTCACGTCATCTGTGCCGGAAACGGTTCGAGACGCACTCGGCTACCATAAATGCGATGCGTCTGGCTGTAGTCCACATCTGATTTCCTCAAGACATTAACATTTACGTGAGGAAGAAAAATCGCCCATTATCCGAGGAGGATGGCAAAGAGTTTGTCTTCAGGTCTTCCATTGACGATTTGCTGACCAATGCTGACCGAATTTTCGAAGTTAGGTCAAAATTCCGATTTTCTCCGAAACTTCAGCTATAAGGGTCATACGGTACCTTCATCACATGGGATTCGCTTTCGGCGACAGTGCTGTGTGCCGCCATTCTGGAAACACAACTTCTTTTACTATTTTTGATGGGATTCTATTAATTTGAGTCTATGTCATTGTGGTCGTGGTCACGAATATTGCATCAATTTTTGGCGCTGGTGTCAACAAGAATTGCTAAATTTTGCAGCGTGAAGAACGTAGCCACAAATTCATCCCAGATCCCAATTAGAGTTCACGGC